GTCCAAACACCAAACTCAAAAGATAGCACAATGGTCTAATTTCAAAAGAAAAAAAAAAAAACAAACGGCCACAAGTGACCATATTGCCTAAGCCGTCCGCATTCTACTTCCCAAGAAAAACATCGGTGAGAACAGTATTTGTCTGCAGCGAAGCCTTCAACAAATCCAATCCCTATCCACAGAAACAAGCACAATTAGTCTACATATATATATAATGATATAATCATATAACTAGAAAAACATAACGATTATAAACACATGTACCTCTTTTATGCCAACCGAAACAGTCTTCTCCTCAAGAGCACCCACCTCCTTAACATTGAACTTATTGAGCATAGTAATGCTTGATATGGTAGACATGGGCTTGACTTCTAGATCGTCCATTATCATATACGTAACGACACCTTTCACAAAACCTCCCTCAGCAGACGACACCCCCGCATCAGGAGGTGGGGGAGCCACGTAGACGAGCTCCGTAGTGATGGAACTACAAGAGCAATTAGTACACCTCGCTCCCGGCCTTTCGTCGGACCCACTTCTACGACAGTTCCCGCATATGTACAGTTTTTTACCAACAGATGTGTCACTACTGTTGGTCAACGAGAGAAGGGTGGCCAAAGAAGAAGAGCCGATTGATGAGTTGGGTTTCAAAAGAATGTCCTTGCTGACGTTTGGTTGTATGTAAGTGTCGCTTAAGCTTTCGAAGCTCTGGTAGAGCTTTCCGAGAGTTCCCACCATGCCATTTGTCGATAGGAGCCGGATAACTGTTCCCACTGGCAAAGACAAAAGGGTGAAGAGAAAATCAACGAAGTCCTTGGCTGCTTCAGCAAACAGGACTCTTTTTTCCTTGGAGTCGATCAGAAGTTTCAGAGTTATGTTGGACTCGGCCGAGCTTGACATTGCCATACAGGAATCGGTCTTGGTGTATAAGCTGTCTGTATGAGAATTTATTAGCTGCTAGTATTTCAAGTGATTGGATTACATAAATGCTGCAGAGATCAATGATCAACTATTTATAGGAACACTGCATCGTATGAGCTAATTTTGATGGCATGCTTTTACAAAGTTTAGTACACTATGGGTTGCTAATTTTGATTGGTACAACATTATAACTTTTTGCTTCTCATTGGACTGCGCCAAAGTGTTGATAGAACATTGCAGGTCCTTTATGAGTTGTTTTACTTGGCCATTAAGCTTTTATGGCTAGCTATCAAAGCTATATTACTCTTTGCTTTAGCTTGTAATTGGTATAATTATATAACTCTTTGCTTCTCATTGGACTGCGCCAAAATGTTGATAGTACATTGCAACTTGGCTATTAAGCTTTTATGGCTAGCTATCAAAGCTATGTTACTTAATTGCCAAGTATGACGTACAACAATCTTCCACGGCCAGAAGAAAAAAATTACTACAACTATCTTACTACTGATTATGGTGGTACAACAGGGAACGACAATCTACGAGGCACTCTTATCTAACATTTGTGTTTGGAACATAAAAGAATAAGCATAGTAAATTTCATCGCACTAAAAAATTAAATTTTTTTTTAAAATGTCAATGTACCAATGTAAAATTCAAAAACATAGGATACATCTAAAAGCATATTTTCCTACTGCTTTCGTTTCTAAGAGACTCTTTTTTAATGTACCAATCTAAAAGCATACATCTAAAAACATAAGTGCGTGTGTGCAGGAGAGAAAAACTTTTCTGGAGACATAGGCGCGTGTGTGCAGGTGTGTGGAGGAAAAGTGAAAAAAACAAAAAAACAAAAAAACAAAAAAGTGTGTGTGCAGGTGTGTGGAGGAAAAGTGAGAGAAAAAAAACACAAAAAAAAAAACAAAAAATATGTGTGCAGGTGTGTGGACGAAAAGTGAGAGAAAAAAATAAAAAATAAAAACAAAAAAGTGTGTGTGCAGGTGTGTGGAGGAAACGTCAGAGAAAAAAAAACGCCAAAAGTGTGTGTAGGTGACAGTGACGTGAGAGAGAGAAAAAAATATATACATCCTAAGTGCAGTGTAGTATTTCAAAATAAGAAAGTAAATATATGTTTTGATATTTTAGTCTTCTTTCGCACTAATAATTTTGGTTTTTTGTGTTATTAAACAGATACAATACATTTAAATTAAGTCTTATATACACTTTAAAGTGCGGGATTGTGATTTACTCATTGACACTATTTATGAAGATAAATCTTATGTACACCTTATGGTGTGAGATTTCTTATTTATAATACTCTTAAATAAATTCCTAATACACTCATGGTGTGTGGTTCCTCGTTCTTATCACAATCCTATGATTATCACTAAGACTTAGATTTCTTTTTAGACATATATAAATTAAATGTAATTTCAAAAAAATTAAGGATTAAAAGTTTCCTAAATTATTTGTTATGATTGTGAATTCACGGTAAAAAAAAAAAATCTTTGCATTTGTTACTTTGACTTAGACTTTCTTTATACAGAAATCTATATAAGTTAAAAGTAAATACAAACCAAGAATTTAAACAATTGCTCAATTATATATTGGTGTGCATATATTGGTGTGCAGTATTCCCATGGGAACAATCAAACAAATGAGAAGAGTTATATATATATATATATATATATATA